CTTTAGTTGTTTCGTACCGGAGACGTGACTGCGACCAACCACGTCCCGGTACTGCACAACCATTCAAGATTGGTTTGTTTTCCGATTTTCTCCCATCTTCCCGATCTTAATTTGGCCTAGATCACGTCTCTGGAGGGCGTTCCACCTCTTCTCGACGTGATCGGCCATCTTCTTTCCATGAGGTGGAATGCACCTCATCCACTGCTCCACCTCCCCAAGAGAACGTTCCTCCCAGGGAATGGTGGGGCCGTTCATCCTCCAACGGAGGACGACCTTCGAAGGGGGGGAGAAACGTATCTCATCCCCCGGCGGAGTCGCCCTCCCAGAGGGGGAGGTATCAGCAACCTCTCCCCTCGTCGTCCCTTCTTTTGAGGTGGAGGGGGATATCTCCCTCCCCTCTCCTCTCATCTCCTCCTCTTTCTTGATAGGGATAGGGGACGGGGAAATCCTTGCCTTGGCCAGTGATTTCTCCTTCTCCTCCATCATCCCCCCCACCTTCGGGCATTGTGGGGGCTTTGCGCTCCCCTGCTTCGAAAGTGGGGAAGGTGATGGGGCCAGAGGGGGGGGGTGACCCCCATCTGTCTTCTTCCCCTTTTCCTTTGTGGGGAGAAGAGGGCTTTTAATAGCCCTCCCCTCCCCCTTCACATCCTCCTTCCCACTCCCAGTGGGGAGAAGAGGAAGGCCCCTAGGGGCCTTCCCCTCCTCACTCTCCTTTCTTTCTATAGTGGGGGGAAGAGGGAGGCTTTGTGTAGCCTCCTCCCCCTTACTACTGTCCTCCTTCCCACCGTCCTCAACCCCAGTCAGCCCTTCTGGTGCTGCCGTTGCTGTCGATACCGGAAGGGGCTTAATTTCCGCCTTTAGCTCCCATTGAGGGAAATGAGGAGGAACCTAACCTAACCTAACCTAACCTAACCTTGCAGCCGGCATCACCACTGCCCGAGAAACGGAAGACGGAAGAACGGGCACAGACGAACGGGTAACGGGCGCAAGTAACCCAAACCCAATAAAAGTAGTCATAAGATAGAATAGATGTACAATGTTATATTTATCATAATAAATTATATTTTTACACGTCAAACGACCTCTGTAACCTAATTATTACCTTAGAAATAAGATTACAAGATAAGATATAAAATAGGTAAAATCGCAACAAGTAGCGGCAAGCCTCGACAAGTAAGTCGTTAAAGTTAAGTATTATAAAATACAATAAAAAGGTAATAATTACAAATCGGAAGCATAACTGTATGTATTCCATATAAAATCAATCAATTACATTAATAAGCAAATTATTTTGTTATACGCGCTAGTCAGCGAATTGTCAGAATGCGATCTGACAACGATTAATTTATTTTAGCATTTACGGTACATTAAATACATAATTATAAACGTAGTACATAAGTTAAATCTAAAATAAATAAAGAAATACAAATAGCATTAATAATGTTACCGACATATGCCCGAAGTCGGTAACCGAGAAACTCGTTTTCTCATTGGAGGATTCTGGCTTCGATAGCGACCAGCTCTGATTGGTCGACGAAGTAAGAGAAGGGAGCGCACGCTTCCCGAGTATAAAAAGGAAGCCGGAATAAGCCAGTAAGTTAGTTGAGTTCAGCCAGTCCGAGTGGCTGAAGCTCTCAATGAGAGCATCGCATTTTTATCCGACGCGATCATGACTCAAGTGGGTCATCGCGATTAATATTAAGTGCGCGCTACATTGTATAATCATGTGCGGCATAACCAGCGCAGACTGGATTGTTATAAATCAATACACAAATAAGTGTTCT